CCTTTCCACTGGAATATTTCTTCTAGTGTGTGTTGGTGATCACTGTTTTTTTCTTCAGGGTTCTTTTACTTTGTTCTACTGTAGTCTGGTTGTGAGTTCATGGAGGTAGTGAGCCCAGCATCTTCACTTTGCTTCTATCTTTCTGGACTCCCTCATGTTTTTGATTGGGTTGTTCTTTTCTCATTTTCTGGTTGCATTAGTGTAGGGTAAATGAAGATTGGTCAGGCTTTTATGCCATAATCGCTGTGGCTATCACCTGTGATCTTGAATGCAGGAGGTGCTTGGGAGCATAGGCCCAAGGTACATGTACCTGATGGTGGGCACTTGGAGTATGGTATGGACATGCGTAAGTGGGCGCACCTGAGCCTGGAGGCTGAGGCTTTAAGGGCAGTGTCACACAGGACGGTGTGTGGTGGAGAATGGCTACATGAGAATGAGTGCAGAGATGTAAGACCACAAGACAATGCCAGAGAAAGCCCAAGGAGTACAGATGGGTGGGGCCTGGGAGGCCTCTGCCCACCGGCCTTCCTGCCTTGCCAGCCTGTGAGCTTGCCCCACAATAGTTGGTGTAGAATGATCATTAAAAACCTGAAAAAGCCACCAAGGACTCCAGGACTCCTTTACCTGTCTGTCCAAATCATTAGAAAACCTGTTCTGTGCCTTGCTGGCACTACAATTGGTATTTCAACTACTTTTTCAAATACTGAAATGCTGCTAGTATTTGCAGTGCTGTTAGTGTTGTGTATATAACCCAGTAACTGTTCTGAGGCTTGTGTATGGTCTTTGTGTAGTTCTGTTCACAAAGTCTGTGGTATACTGTTTTGTAGCCTAATCCAAAATTCTGTAGCTTGGGGCTGGACACCTGTGTTCATAAACAATTCAATTGGTCTAAAACCAATGCCTCCCCTGTCCCCTCAGGGCTCTGACTCTTGGCTCCAGACCACTGCTTGCAGGCTGTGCAAGCAGCAGCAGGTAATGGGGATTTTACCGTCCACCACCAGTGGCCCCACTGGGCTCTGCCTGGGCTGCAGGCAGAGGCCTGCAGTGATAGTGGGTGGCAGTGGTTCCCAGGTGTAGGGGCAGGAAGGCACAACAGAGTAGGTTCTCTGTGACCTAAGCAGATAGGTATAGGAGAGTCCTGGAGCCCTCAGTGGCTTTTTAGGCTTTTATTGAGTGCTTTTTACACCATCTGTAATGCAGCAACCAGGTACACAGCAGGCAGGAGGGCCAGGAGGCTGGCAGGCCTCCCAGCCCCTGGCGAATCTTCACTCCTCTGGGCCCTCTGGCGTTCTCTTGTAGTCTCTGTTTTTTTCTTTGCTGCTCTGCTGGTTCTCTCTCATTTTTTTCTCATTTTCTGCTGGCGTCCCCAAGACACTGCCTTTATAAGCCCACCTGTGCATGCCTACGCCCTACTCCAGGTGCCCGCCATCAGGCATTTATGTAGGACTGCAGGGATGCATCATTAATGCTAATGGCGGGAGGGCAGAAAATCCTGATAATTATCACTTACCTACACCAGGGCATGCAGCCCCTAGTTCAGGGCTGCAGGGAAGAACGTGGAGCTCCACCGGGCCTGTGGATTTAGTGTCTGGATTGTGGAATGGGCAGATCAGGTGTGAGCTGTGAACTGATTGGTGAATGGTCCAATCAGCCACAGGATTGAAAACGATTCAATCAGACTGTGGTGGGGGTTGGGGAGAACCCTGAAAGAGGATATAAGGAAGGGCAGGAGCCAGCTTGGGACTCTTGTACACTCAGAATCTTGGTTCTGATCTCAGAAGAGGTACTGACTCTATTGCACAGTCAATCTGTGCTTGAGAAGGAATCTCTTTTCCTGATCTCTGGAGAAAGGAGAAAGACGCAGCCTGGGAAGCCTACCTCTGAAGAAAGAAGAGAAGCTGAAAGCTTCATAGAGAAACCGAAGAGCTTTGCAAAGGCTGGGTTGGCAGCACCTGCCTCTGGCCTGCCTGTTACATCACCTGGAAAGAGCACCAAAGGCCCCAGACCTGGTGTGTCAAGTACTGTTTGTTGTTGATGTGGGCCAACAACTCACAAAGAGCTGTAACACTAGTGTTAATAACATGGCTTCTGGTAATTGGATGACCAGCACTACCAGCCATTTGCCTCTGTGTCTGGGTCACTTTTGAGAGCTGTTAATTATCTGACCCCACCTCCTAATGCTGCTGCCTCCTTTGCTGTCTGGTACAGTATCTGGTGCTGTCCAGCCCAGCCTTCAGACTGTTGCTGTGGGCTGTGACATCATCTTAGTGCCCACCTCCAGCTGCTGTGAGTTGGATCCTGGCCTGCTGCTTGCTGGTGTGCCATGAGCTCCAGGCTCTTGTTGACAGGACATCACCATCTAGGATGAGCGGCCTTTTGTTTGGGATTTTTGGACACTGCACACTACCTGGGGTGAGATAGCTAGCCATTTGTGGCCTTAGAAACTTTCCCTTGTTTGTTAAATAAGCCCCGTTGTTGTTGTTTGTTCCCTGAACCTCAGTGGTCTCACAATTGTGTTAGCAGGTGAAGAACCCACAGACAGTGAACTGTCCTTTACTGGGTACTGTCATTTGACCTGCGATAGCCACCTCCACACCCTATCTACCCACCCGCAACCCCCCTGTAGCTGTTTCAGGTCCATCTTCCTCAACTGCTTTCCTATGCTATCCCCCTGATACTACTTGATTCCTTGATTCTTCCCTCTTTGGTCTATTTGCTAGAATGCCACTGCCACACACTTCTTGTAGTTCTGCTTATTTGTGGGACCACCCAGTTGGAGGATAGAAGGAAAAAACAATAGAATTTGGTCCCATTCTCCTGAGACCATGTAGGTCTTGTGATTGAGATGAGGATTCCCATCCCTCATAGTTAATATGCTCTGTGTCCATTTCACTGCTGCTCTTACTCTTACCTCTGCAACCAGTATCGTATTGCTTAGGGCTGGGTCACCAGAGAAAGAGAAAATGAAAAGGGAAAATTTCCTCCTTTAGTTCTATGCATTAGGTTACTCCTTTAGACACCTTTCTTGATCCTTACGGCAGAACTAGAGTGTTTAAACTCGAGTTCTTTATTTCTGCTCATGTTACACCCTCAATCCAGCCTGGGGGTAATACTGGAGGTTGGAAAATTTGTAGATATATTTTAAATACTGAACATCTTTCCCAGTCTTCCTGCTGTTATTTTCACAATCCTCAAGTTAACTGCCCCTTGCATTCAGTCCAGGTTTCCAAACTGCATCTTATGGAAGGAAGAGAGTGGTGTGTGCTTGTGACCTCTTACCAGGAATAGGAACCTGTGTCATCATTTAAGAGATAAATTATAATTACCTGTATGTCGTTATCAGTATGTGTCAGCCAGTTGGTAGGCTATGGGAATAAAAGTATGTGAAAATCATGTAAATTATCAGTAATTAGTTTGAAAGAGTTTGGAAAACAATAGTAAAATTTAGGTAATTGCTTTAGTAGAGAAGTGAGAGAGTATTCAGAGTGAGTCTTCAGAGGAGTCTGATTTACCTGAGTAAGAGAAGGAATATTTAGAAATATACTATTTCATATTTTATAATTCTGTATTTCTACCTGGTTGTAGCATATGGTATGTAATAGTTACCTAGGGCTTTGATAATGTTTCACAAAATGGATGACTGAAATCAACAGAAATTTATTCTCACCATTTTGGAGGCTACAAGTCTGAAATCAGTGTGTCAGCACAACCATACTGATTCTGAAACCTGTAGGGAAGAATCCTTTTTTACCTCTTCTTAGTTCTGGTAGCCCCAGGTGTTTTATAGTTATAGATTTATTACTCCAATTTTCCGCTCTTCACATGGCATTCTTTCAAGTCTTACCGTCTTCCCTCGAGGAGTGTTGTGTCCTATTTCCCTGTTAGGAGGGAAACCAGTGATACCTGGGTAAGGCTTATCCTAAAGATGCCATTTTAAGTTGATAGCCTCAGAGTATGAAATCTTCTCCGAATGAGGGTAGTAGGAGTTAAAACTTGAACATTTCTTTTGGGGGCCACAATTCAACCAACAGCCATAGTACAGCGTAAGTAGGTGCACGACAGATACCTGGAAAGTCATTGACATTACACTGTAAACCAAGGGAACCAAAGATAATGAAGACATAGAACAGATCGTTGGATTCATAGAATACAACATTGGAGGAATCTTAATACGGAAGAGAGAAGTGATAGCTGAGAAATAAGCAGGTACCCAATCATGAAGGACTGGAAGGGAGTCTTGGGCATAAAAAATTTTTAAAAGACTCCAAAAAGCAGTGGACTTTTGTAGTGCAATTTGTCTCTCAAGCTCCCTTGAAGATGGAATTGCCAAATATGCAATTCTGTGGAAGAAACAATGGGAAGAAACAATTACTGCTATAAATCACATTCGCTTAAACTCACAAATTGTTCTTGCACAAAAATGCAGGTCATTATCTTATTCACACATATACATAGGTATATATAACTTAGTTACATTTATACTCCATATGTAAAAAAATACCTTCCCTTTAGGATTTTTAATTGTTGAGTGTATTTGAAAGTTAGTTTGAACTGACTGCAGAGTCTCCAGATTAGACTCTTTGGGACGTCTATTAATGAGCAACAGAGTATAGATTTCTTTAATATTGCTTTGTAATAAGTGTGAAGATAAACAGGTGTCTTTTCTCTTGGATTATCTGAATATATTGACATATTATTATTAGAAAATGGTGCCAGAAGTCCTGGGAAAAGTTGTTTTCCTGCTCACTTAATTTATTGTTAGTGAGCTATAAGTACTTGTGGCCAGAGGGCGAATGATATCTTTCAAAAATTCTTCATGAGTGAGATACACAGGACACCGTTATTTTTTTCTTAAGATTCATCTTCTCTATAATAGTTTCACCCAGTTTTGCTTTCTTTATCAGCACCATTTTTGATCCCTTTTCTGTGTTAAAGTAGATGAAAATGAATTGTATGGTTTGTAAATGTAATGTCTTACATGCTTTTTTTGTTTTTGACAGCCGGTTTATTTTGCATATTCCCAGTGAGGAAAGAGACAATGCTATTCGAGTGTGTTTTCAGATTGAACTTGCCCATTGGTTTTACTTGGATTTCTACATGCAGAACACACCAGGATTACCTCAGTGTGGGATAAGAGACTTTGCTAAAGCTGATATCCTTTTTATAAATGTAACAACTGTTGTTCATTCTTACTAATATTTTAACACAGATTATCTCTTGTCTTTGAGATTTATAACCTATTAGATAAAACGTTCTTGATTTCTAAAATTGTCAAATAGTAGACAGAATTTAAAAGTGTTCTTTTACATAAAGGATCCTTTGAGGTGTACACTGATGACTAGAATTAAATTGGATTTTCTTTGCATTTATAGCTGTCCAGCCTGTTTGTAGAATTGATTTTTCGTTTTCTATTGTTTTCTTTTAACCACATTGTTTTTAATTAGATGGGATAGAAATTCTTAGCTATTTATTGAATACTTAGTGTGTTCAAACTAGTGTTTTTGATTTCTGGAAAATATAAAGAAGACTTCAAATATAATAGAAACTTGTCATAATTTGTCATATTAATATTTAAGATTAGTAAAGAAACTGTGTCATAAAGCAGAAAATGCCTGATATGAAGTGCTTTTAGAATTTGGGAAAACTGGAAATATTTTAGGTGCAATTATATTTTTAAGGTAATAAAGGGCTTTCTCAGTAGACAGAAGTGGGGAATAATATTTACTAGGTAATGAAAAGGGATTGAGCAAAATTGGAGAGCTGGAAAACATAATGGTTATCTCAGAAAGTAAATTAGTTTGATCCGGGGGTGGTTCTTCCTATTATGTCTGTAATAGGAGATATGAATAGAGGGTATAAAGGATGGATTTGTGTCTAAAATCTTTGATTTTCATTCTGTAGGTAACTTTTAACTATAAGTCATATGTTGAATTGTAATTGTATTCAAAAGTTCAGTGTCCTGTACTAGAGTTGGAGTAGGAATAGGTAAGGACTCAGCACAAATGGATAGAACACTGTTCTAGATGACCGATAGTCATAAAAAGTTTTTGAGCAGGGGTAGAGAAGATTATTGAGCTCATTTGAAAGTGGCACTCAAGAAGATTTATTTGGCAGGATAGGTTGAACCATAGGATGGTCAGTAACATAACTTGAGATAGGGACCATTGAGGGTCCTGAACCATAATAGAGAGGCTGTAAAGAAAGAACTGAGGAGACACTTTTTGTTGGAAGAAATGATCAAGCTATTTGATCATTCATCATCTTCACATTCCATGTGAAGAAATAAATGAGAAATCAAGGAGAATAGAGGTGATATTTAACGTTCTTTTGTTAAGGCCTTGGAGTATAGGTTCTGTGGAGAAAGACTGCTTTTAAGCAGTTATAATGTAATTAGAGAAATATGATGAAAACAGCTAAATCCTCTTAATTCTGTGAGTTTGGTCCACCAAAACAACATCACATGTACTTTGAGGTTTGGGATAAAATTTTGTATATAGCATGAGTTCTGATCTTTCTTTGCTATTAAAAAATTGAGAACCTATTTTAGTTATGCTTTTTTAAATTAAGTTACATGAAGAAAAAAACTTATGCTAATGTGGTATTAAGTAATGGAGCACTTACTCTGTGCCAGGCATTCTGCAGTGAACAAGGAAAATGCAGTTTCTATCTTTAAGAAGATGAAGAGAGACAGGAAAGGAAATGATGGCAATGCAGTTTGGTAAATTTTAATAGGGTAGTATAGGGTTTAGTGGGGATAGAAGAGTGGGATACTCAACTCAGGTTTGAAGCTAGATAAAAGTTTTCTTTGGAGGGAATCTGTGAGAAACTGCTATATGAAAGAGTGAGAAGTTAAATACGTTGGGTTTTGAATGAGTGGGGTGGAAGATGAGATAACTTTGGAGAGACAGTCAGTGCTATAAGGGTCTTGTATGCCTTTTTTGGGGGGAGGGGTACTTTATACTTAAGAGTGATAGACCAGTGTAGGAGATCGAAAAGAAAACGTTAGATTTTTTCACTGGGGGAAAACTTCCACATAAAAGAAAGTTGAAATAATATTACGTATGCCATCATACCTTTCTTATGTATTTGCCTATTTTTAACATTTTCTGCCTTTGCTCTTCTGTCTAGGGGTGTTTAGAAAGACAACTCTGGAAGGTGAGATTGGGAATCTAGTAAATCGCATTTTCATAATTTATGAGAGAAATAAATGGAAACCTAGGATAGAAGTGAATGAAGAGGTTAAATTTGAATGTTTTTGGAAGTGAAAATTAGTGTTAAATTGGATGTTTGGGGTGGGTGTGGGACAAGGTATGAGTGCTTGGACACAGATTTCTGGTTTGAGCATTTGAGTTGGGTGGGTGTGCTATTCCATCGGTAGAAAAAGTTTTAGGAGAAACTTTGTGGGGTGAATGAAGTTACGCACAAGATGGTTTGTGGTACCTTTAGGATATTTAAATGGAGATTTTGCCTGTGTAGTATAAAAAAGTTAATAGCATGAGTTAATAGCACCTGATGCCAGATTCCTTGGAATAGCTTCCCATCTTTGCTATTTCACTAGACATGCAATGTTGGGGAGATTGTGGCACTTTTTATGCCTGTTTTCACTTTTGTAAGTTGTACATGATCTTACGAGTTTTCTTCAGTAAATGCTCAGGAATTTTGATAGAGGATGGATATCCTGAATTTGCTCCTGAGATGAAGCTTTGCTAGGGAGCTGTATAGAGAACGACAGATAGGATTTCTAAGAGCTTGATTATAGTAATGGACCCTATTGCTAATATGGAGAAAGGAGAATAAAGGTAAATGTCAAATAATGATGTAATAATGCTGTGAGTAACTGAAAGAATGCCATAGAAAGTTATGGTCAAGATATTTTATCTTAATCAAATTGTCAGAATAGTTCCAGTGATGGTGATGGCAAGGCCCAGAACATTGCTCTGGGAATTGGTCCCAGAAGTAGAAAGTGGATGTGAAGGATAAGAAATATGCGTAAGTGAAGGCGCTGGAAGGGATCATGCTCAGCGAAATAAGCCAGAAAGAAAAAGAAAAATACCGGATGGTCTCACTCATAGCAGGAATCTAGAAAACTTAAATAAGGGACCAGGAAAAAGAATAACTATAAGAAAGTAAAAATCAAAATCAACAAACAACTATGAACCAGAGACATTCTATGGGGTTGGGGGGTGGGGAGGGGAGGGATTGGGGTCAAAATAAGGGGGTTGCAATTGTATGGGGAATATAAAAATAAAATTTATAATTTAAAAAAAACAAAGAACTTCAGAAGAGCTTTGTTGTCCGTGGGGAAATTGATGTTATCTAAGATAATGGTAGGATTTGAGGTGGAGATTATGCCCTAAATGATTTGTTTATACCCACAGCGGATTTTTCATGTTTCTGCAAAAGTGTTAATAAAAGGGTTATATAAAAATTACTTATTCAAAAGAATGTGTAAATACAAACTTCAAGTGGACATGTGCTTAACATTGTCATATTCTATCTCTAATCCATCTGACATTCTTTTTTCTTAGTACTGTTGATTAAGGCCCAGTAACCCAGATTCAGCACACAGAATAATTTGGGGGTTAAGATCAGAGAGTAGTCAAGGAAGAATTTCAGTGAAAGTTAGAAATGATAGTTAACAATCCTTACATTATAGGGTTTTTATAATTAAATATATTTTCATTGAATAATAATATTTCTAGAAGTTTCAGTCCCATGAATTACTTCTATGATTATTAAGTTTGAAGAAGGATTAAAGAGTTTTCAGTGGGTAAATTGATGTCATTTGGTTTTGGTTCTCATTGTATGAACTTCGGTAAGTACACGTTTTTTTCAATGTTAATTACAAGTGTATCTTGAACTGTATTTAGTTTATTTGACTCACTTTTGTGGTGGTTTTGGGGTAAAAAAATGGATAAAGGAAAAGTGTTAAATACTTGTAAAGCTGTCAGTTGATTAATCTCTTTATTCTTTTAAAAGAAGTTTTTTACTGATTTAGAAATAAAATACAAGATAACAGTAGAGTTAGCGATGTAGTTGATATTATAAGGAGCATTGTAGGTAGAAGGAAGAGAAAGAAGAAAACTGAATAAGTATTCTACTTTCTAAACTACTGACATTTATTCCTGTTTCTGGGTTTTTATTTTCTCTGGTTAAATTTTTAATGGAAAAATAGCCATTTATTTAAAATTTATACTTAGATTTGAAAAAAATCTCTGTAACCTTAAAAGGTGTAAGGGATTTTACTAAACATCTAAAGTTAGGCTTTTATTGAGAATAACTTTTAGAATCTGTGTAGAAACCTATAGTTTGTGTTATAGCCAAACTTGATTTTTTTCTTTCCCCTCCCCTTCCTGAGATTAACCTAGTGCCTCGTTTTTTAATTGCAGTGATGTTAACTTCTGGACTCTTCATGACCTCTTGGTTCTTACTATAACTATAAAATGAAAACAAAGTTTGAAATACAAAGCTGTAGTTCTCATAAAACTTAGTTTCATATAATGAATTTAATGGGATGTCTTTGTATAAACCAAACCACACATCACAATGTGATCGTAATGCTGATCCTTTTCAAGGATTTTTGTGTGTGTGTGTGGGGGGGGGGGCCTCGCTGGCAGCCGGGAGCGAACCGGCACTGCGGAGGCCCTCGAGGATGTTTTGATGTGTGTCTAGTACTTGTTTTTCTGACACATTTCTTTACTCCATCTGTTATGAAACCTGCTTTTTCAATGTTGTATATCATTTGGCCCCAGTGCATCACTTGCATGTTAGGTTTCCTCTGTTCTTAATGGTATACAGCAATTAAAGTAGTCCTATTTTAAGTCTGGTCTTTGTATGCAGTATATGTGAACATACAAAGGATTGAAAATATGCTCATATTACATGTTTTTAGATTAACATTAAAATGAAAGCAGAGTATGAAAGTTTTCATGGAGGACCTGAGAATCTGATAGAATATGTCCTGGGTTTGAGAAACACTATCACAATTTTCCCATACTTTTTGTAATTCACAGTATTGGAATGATGAGACACTTGATACCATGGAATACTGGAAGCCTGAGCATGTACTTTATAGTAACTTTTGTTTTTTTAATTTGCTGTTTTTTAATCTAAATTATCTTACTCTGCCCAATTTGGGGGGAGGGAGGCAACTTTTAGCCCAGTTTTAAATAGGCTATACTTATACCTTGATACCCGGATTTACCTTGCTCTATAGTCCTTAATAAATCTTCCTCTTAAAAAGAATGTTTTGATTGTAAAAGAAATACATGTTCATGGTAAAGAAATTCAGCAGTATAGAGTGCTAGAATTTATCCCTAGTTCTACTTTCCAGAGTTGAGCATGTTAACTAGTTTCTACCTTTTACCAGTGTATGTGTACTATAATTCTGTTTCTTGCTATCAGTTTGTTGAGCCCTGGTGTGATTACATGGTTCTGGAATATATGTGTTAATTTTAGTATCCATGAGATGAATATTCAAAGTTAGCTTGATTTGTTACAAGAGAAAACAAATGTGAGTAAACAAAAACAAGAAAAATAAACTTGAGATAAAGATTTGAGAAATTTCATATAAAACACAGTTATTTAAAGAGGTCTTTTTCTGTATGTAAGTGCTCATGCTAATTAAGGGAGACAATAGTTTCCTTAACATTATGTATACTCTTTAGTCATTGCCCATTTTTGCTGCCTCAAGGTGAAGATGTGGAAAAAGTTTTGGATGAATGGAAGGAATATAAAATGGGAGTACCAACATACGGTGCAATTATTCTTGATGAGACACTTGAAAATGTGAGTGTAATAAAATAAAAGATTTCTAGTGAAATGGTGACGCCCGTTAATTTTTACCCTTCTAATAAAATGCATGTGATTATCAATAAAATGTTATTTCTGTAATGTTCTGAATTGAGGTTTTATTTTTATTTATTTATTTTTAAAGAATTTTTTTTTTTTAATTTATTTATACAAGCACTGGGTACAGTCAGAAGCGCCGGAGGGTGAGAGAATTCACCAGAGCCAGAGCGGGGAGCAGAGCAGGCAGAAGGACCGAAGTACACTGCTGAGGGGAGCAGTAGGCGGCAGGGGAGGTCTGTGCGCCATATGGGACCCTCACCCGGTGGCTGGGGATTGAACCGGTGCTGCAGAGGCTGCAGGCAGCTTCGCAACCCAGCGCTCAACCGCTGTGCCACCGGGGAGGCCCCCCTGAATTGAGGTTTTAAAATGTACTTAGATTTTTATTGCTAGAAGTCTAACTTTTGTATATTTATTGAAAAATTAATGTTTTGATTCTACATTTGGGTTTAATATTTTGTACTTGTTGGTATGACTTATTCTAAAAAAAAGAATAAACTAATTGCTGAAGAAATATTTTTAAATAGGCAGAGACCTTTCTTCACACTAGTAGTGGTATATTCAGATTCATGGAAGATACTTTAACCAGGTATTTTATAATAAATTATCAGTGATAACAATTACCTGAATAAGACTAAGACTAAGAATAAGAATAGCTCCATAGAAAGGAGCATGGGAAAGAAGGGTGAGGTTTATTTTCACATTTTTACCCCTGCTTATTTTGTAGGTATTACTGGTTCAGGGTTACCTAGCAAAGTCAGGCTGGGGATTTCCAAAAGGAAAAGTAAATAAAGAAGAAGCGCCACATGATTGTGCTGCTAGAGAGGTGAGTTATTGTAATTTGAAACAATAATATTTGATTAATTTTTGCTCTAAGTGTTTTTGTTGTTGTTTTAGCTATGTAGACCTGTTTTTTGGATAGTCTAATTCTCTATACAGAAGCATAAAATAATCTCTTTTATAATTGTTGACTGTATTTTATTTGCCTCTTATTTCCATTTTCTTTCATTGTCCCATTTTCTATTCTAGCACTTCTAACTCCTTTTCTCATATTGCCTACCTTTCCTTTTAGAATTGGATTTGCAATTGATAAAACATTTTGTGTATTAAACCTTTGTTTTTTGCTTATAATACTGGCTTCCAAACATTTGCACAATTTGAACATTTCAAAGTCATTTAGTTTTATTAGTCATAACCCAGTCTAGCCTCCCACTGCAAATACTCTTTAATTTTAATTTTTTTTTAAAAAAAGATTTATTTATTTTATACAAGAACCGTGGTACAGGCCAGATGCGCCGGAGGGTGAGAGGATTCACCAGAGACAGAGTGGGGAACAGAACAGGCAGACTGACGAAATACACTGCTGAGGGGAGCATAGGGCGAGACAGGAGAGGTCTGCTGCGCCATGTGGGACCCTCACCCGTCTGGCCGGGATTGAACCGGTACTGCGGAGGCTGCGGACAGCTTTACAGCGCGGCGTGGTCAACCACCTGTGCCACCAGGGGAGGCCCTCTTTAGTTTAGTTCTTTAAGGATTGAAACTCCCTCCGCATCCTCAATTTATCTTTCCTTATTTTCAGTTGAAAGGATTTATTATTTGTCCCCTGAATTTGATTTGTTTCAGCCTCTAAACTTATGTTATTTCTCTACCTGAAAAGTACCTTCTTTGTACTGCCTGTTCAAATCCTATCTAGGTACCTTTCTAGACCCAGCTCAAATTATCTTTTTTCTCTGAAGGTCATCATTAACTAGCTCTGTAAATAGGATATGAGTTTCCTATTTATAAAATTGTTTCAGGCCCCTGACCCAATAGAATTGAGTCCTTTGACCCCCGAAGAGAAAGTACCAGAGAGCAGCAGGCTGCACTTAAGCTTAAGAGAGTATAAAGGAGGCAATCCAAGGACAGGACTCTAGGTTGACTCTGAGGGGAGTCCACACCAATTTTACTCAGTCTTCAAAGATCTTAGGTCCTTCTTTGAGGCCATCTCTGTTCTCTGTGGCGTGTACATGTCTGAGTGTGCATAATTCCAGAGGTTACATGGTGATATCATGGGTGCTTGTAAACTTGACCATAAGCTTTAAATAAGCTCATGGACACAATGCATGGGTGGAAAGATGTGCAAATTAGAACAAAGGGGGCATAGACAGTGATTACAGAAAAAATACAGTCTCTCTGGTGTCCATTATATCTTATCAGTCCAGGGACCTGCTGAGGGTTTGTAACAGGGTGGTCCCAGGAAAGGGGGAGGTTCCCTGCCCCACCCAAGGAAGGGTGGAGCTGAGCAGGAAGAGGAGAAGCTGCAGAAGAGACTGAGGAAGGAAGCAGGATGGAGCCAGAAGGAGACCTGGAGGAGGCGCATGGAGCCTAGAGACATGTGAAGAAACTGCGCTTGTCTTTTGGTCGTGGACTGGGTGACACAGATGTGGGTGAGACCCGTGGGGAGGTGACCATGGCAGCTTTTATCTGGATGTTGATTTTGCTCTTTTCCTTAACACCCAGGCATACATTTGCTAATTAAAACACCACTGCTCCACAGTTGGCTTGCAAAACCCATCAGACACAGGGCAGGAAGTAGTCAAAGACAAAGCAACATACCACTGAAGAACCATTATTGCCTTTAGAAATGCTAATGAGACAGCAGAGATTACAAAAAGAAAGAAAAAAAAAGTTCCAAGTGGTCTCAGACGCCATCTTTGATCTGGCCACATGGTCCAATGTACTGCCTAATCTTTTGAGTAAAACTGGCACAGAACAATTTCCACAAAATCAAATGTCTTAGCAAGTCACTACAAACAAATTACATACAGACACACAGATCTTAAAATCGACATATGAAACAAACACACCGGAGAAACCAAAAATCACATTTGCGCTTATGGTAGCCAGTGCCATAGGGAAGCCCAATTTCCCCATGGGGCTGACTAACCACGGATGGCTCTGTCCTAAATCACGTTGGACGCCAAATCTGTTATAGGACAGGGAGAGGGGCAGCCCAAGCCCCACAAACCTGCCTATACTAAATGGGTTCTGCCATCCGCCGCATCAACACAAAACATATGACACTTTAATGGGAAGGATCTTTAATAAAAACTAGGAAACAATACAGGTGAGGCAAAGAGTCTAGTTTCTAAATAAAGCACCCAAAGTTACCCGTCCCCTCGTGGGTAAAAGTCCATCCATATGGGATCGGCCCAGAACAAGGCCCCAAAGTCTACCACAAGTCTAAAACATCTTCCAGTGGGAACCCACAGAAAAGGGTCACAAACAACCAGACAAGCCCGGAAGGAAAAGAGCAAAATCAACATCCAAATAAAAGCTGCCATGGTCACCTCCCCACGGGTCTCACCCACATCTGTGTCACCCAGTCCACGACCAAAAGACAAGCGCAGTTTCTTCACATGTCTCTAGGCTCCATGCGCCTCCTCCAGGTCTCCTTCTGGCTCCATCCTGCTTCCTTCCTCAGTCTCTTCTGCAGCTTCTCCTCTTCCTGCTCAGCTCCACCCTTCCTTGGGTGGGGCAGGGAACCTCCCCCTTTCCTGGGACCACCCTGTTACAGGTTGGCGACTGGTCTGATTTGTTCCTGCCTCCACTGTTCCACACACCCTATTTCAAACTGAGGGTTCGAATGGATACTTTCTAAAAATCATTTTTTAAAATTCTGTTTATTTTAAAATCTGTCAGTTCTAGCCCACAGTAGTGTCTGAATTTTAATAGCATTTCTCTTTTTCACTTAACATTAATTATATAGCATCTTCTAATAGATTACAGATTGTATTCTCTTATCAATTCATTATCTTTTTCCTTGACATTTGGGAAGATGAGCTAGAGGAATAAGTGGAAAGTGAACTAGCTAAAACGTTGATTTTTGTTCCCATGTGTTTCTGCTATGTGTCATTCACTATTATGTGTCACACTGGTCACTTAATCTGTAAGATATATAAATTGTCACTCGTGGGCTCAATAACTAAAAGTATTATGTTTGATTATTTTATAATTGCAAGTAATATCTTTCAAATCTAAGGTGGTAGTGACTTCAGAGATATTTTTGAGATGATTATTTGGACTTTGTGGCATATTTGAGTTGGTGCCTTACTGCTCTTAGGCAGCATTGTTTACTGGTTGGCTTAAGTTTGGGTGTAATCTATTAGTGAAGGCTAATAATTAAAATTCTTATAAACCACTAGTGGTTATTTTCTTTGGTTGAGGATTTAAAAAGATTTAAAATGCTGGTTTTTAATTTCAGCATGGAGCAGCTTATCTAACAAGTATTTGCAATAGCTTATAGACAAAACCATTATTTACATGTGAAGGAAGTTTTATGCACACTACTTAAAATTGAAAGCCTTTTAGGGAACAGGTGAGGAATTGCCATTTCCTCTGAGATCTTTTCCTTTCAGTAGATGTCAGGGATGAAACAGAGCATTTTAAGGTCTTCCCTTTTATGTCCTCAAACTTTGTAACCCTCTTGCTCCTAAGAAAGAACAATATAGGAACCATTGCATCTTAAATTAGAGGTATTAACCTACTAGTTAGACTAGTCCTGTAACAGTGAGATAGTTGTCCAGGTCCGGGAAAGACATTGTGTTATCTGGAATAGTAGAAATTTAGGCTACATTGGGTAAGACTGGCTGTCTCTGCAGTTGGGTCTTCTTGGGGGAAATTGAAGGAAATCAAATACCTAACTTGTGAACTAAAGAAGTAGACCAGACCCAGGGGATTTGCTTGCATCTACCACTGGAACCCACCTTTGATGAGTTTAATACACCTCATTGTAAAGAGTCAGAATAATGCAGAAAGGGGCCAAGGGAAAGAGGGAATTTGGAAAACTCCAACCTGTGAGCCAAGCATGTATAATTTTCACTTACTTGTTATCTGTTCGGGGATACTAAAATAAAAGGTGTGTGTGTTGTGTGGTACTAATTTCAGTAGTTTACCATAATTTGTAAGAAAGTAAATGGGATGGATTTCTTAGGACATGGGTTGTGAGAGAATAGAACGTGAATCAAAGGATCTGAAGACAGTCTTGTACGTGGGATATAATCATTTTGGAGGTTATCACCATTAATAGATGAGGAACTGAAACAAGGCAGTTTATACTATTGAAGCATGGTGACCTGAGATAAGCAGCCTGAGGATCTTAGTAACAACCTTTTGTTCAGTTCCTGGTATGCAATGTATTTCCTGATATGAGTCTTCCTTCATATTAGATTATATACCGCCTTGAGACAGAATGGACCTGGGTGGGGGGTTCCCATGACTACTGACCCTTTACTCACTGCTTGGTATGCAGCTATGCATCTTACCTCTTTGTATGTAGCCACGTCATATCTGACCATGTACAGCTGCCAGTGAAAACCCACCTGAAACTGTTAGGGGGAAATGATGTCCTGAGTTAATCCCATACAGGCTTTGTGGACCCCACCCTCACTCCAGACTAAAGCCATCAAGACTCTGGGAAAGACAAATCCCATCACCACCAAGGGAGGGTGGCTGGGACCTGAGGGTGGAGTTGGGCAGCCAGGTTGGATATAAAAAACCAAACACGTGGGCCTTGGGCGCTCTCTGGCTCGCGATTGCTCGCCTCCTGGCTTCACCGCTCCTGGCTGGCTGCCAACTCTGAGAGCGCCATTTTGGGATTCCTGATCGGCGGATCGGGTAGGACTCATTTAAAACTTTGTCTCCCACTTTTCTCCCAGAGCTGTACATTTCCTCATTTCCCCTTCCCTTGTAAATAAACCTTTTATTAACCTTTCACGTGTGCCTGCAGTAGAGCATTGATGAGTCCTTTTAAGCACGTGGGTGAGGACCCACAGTCAGGCACCCCGT